GGTTTGTAATTTTCAATAGGAATTGAGAATAATATCTCAAGTGTCAGGTTTGAGGTACCTCACCCAGACAACTAATTGTAAAAGATCATATGATGGAAACGTCATGGGGCTCAATGGAGCATGTTCATATGTACATCCGAACCTTCTTTCAAATTGGTTTTATTTGTTGGGGCCATTCGCGAAGGCCGAATCAATTATTTCCCAGATGGGTTTTACTGTTTTCCATTAATTGTTTTACAATCCCATCGAAAAAGAACTTGATCCCTTCCAAATTCCAGCCACGTTCTTTCTTTTTCTCTTGGCAACATCAAGTCTATCAATTCCTACCATTCTATAGGTAGTGTGATTTTCTTATCACTTTTCTTCTTCTTCTTCTTTTGGTTTGTCTTTCTTCGTTACAATCAATATTTTTTCGCCGTATAACTTCTGAAAGGATTTCTAGGTAGCTGAATCACGAGATATCAAGTACGAAGACACAGGAGTTAGGTGAATGTATGTACCAGTTCAACATTAGGTCATCTCAACACTAAACAAAATGCCTCCAAAATATCAGTGAAATTCCTAATAGCCTCTTATATGACGTGCTTGTGTTGTAATTAATTGGGAGGTGCATATGTTGGTTTAATTACCTGATTGTAGAGAGAGAGGGAGAGAGAGCTTATTGTGTGAGTCGACATCCACATTCTCCGCAAAAAGATTGGCAAAATCTTAGACAGCCTATGGGAGGAGAATTGCGAACTATTATCTAATCTGCAACAATACTGGTCCAGGCAGCAGAAGAAAAGGCAGACGCAAATGGTGGATACAAATCGAGAATACCTTTTCATGTTGATTACTAGACTCCCCCACACCTACCCTTCTCTAACAGTGTATATACTTAATAAGCTCTTGGAATTCAAAATTAATAGCGCGCGCCCACACACACACATATATATATATATATGTCAACACAAATTAATTTAATTGATAAGGACGAGTTACTTCTTCACAAATAGTTATGCATTCAAATAAATATCGCTGTTAATGTAAAGGTTGCATGTGTTGATGAAACATTTGTAAGAATCTCTATAAATGATCTATGACCCCGGAAGCATGTCCTAACTTGTAATAATATCTGAAAGCTTATATATCTGCAACCTTACTGAATGTACGTATGGCTGAAATGAACACCAATAGCTTGAACTCGACTCATACGCAGAATCAACTACACATCAAGTTTGGTTTGCCCCCAAAAAACAATTACACTTGCAGTAGTAGGTAACGAACGACAAGGTTCTCCCACAGATGGACCATACTTGATGTCCAAAGAGTAAATTTAATTCTTTTTCTGCTTAAGGATTAATCAATTTAAAAGCAAGAGTAGGTACCTGATCTTTCTTTTTTTTTTTTTTTTTGGGTTGTGATTGGGACTGGGTTCCACTGGAAGAGATTTGAGTAGGATCCAAGTGTAAATACCCCAAATGCAGTAGGCGCACCCCAGAATTTCTCAATACTAATATAAATAATCAAATGAATTCAGACACATCATTTTCCTAACTATACTTGACATCACAAGATCTAAAAGAAATTATCTTTTAACGGAAGATTTAAGAACGAGAAAGAAAGAAAAAAGGTGGGCTTAGTTAGTGCTCAGTGAGTTGGTACTCCCTTTAAAAAAATCGATCGTAACCAGGGTGAAAAAGGGGGGAGACATGAAGCATTATACCAGCAGCTAATGCCATAACACATCTAATTACTTTACTAATATAATGGACATACCACTTCAAAGGCAGAGGCACATTTAGTATTGGGAGTACTTCGTTTCCCGGTGGCAAAATAATAGGCAGAGCAGTGGGGTTCTGTTAAGTGATGTGATGTAAGTAGAATGTGGGCCTTCAAGTGTCACATCCCCGTGTTTAATTACTATAAACCATGCTTTTCTTGACTGCACACACTACTGCCATATATATATATATATATATATAATTAAAGTACTAATGTGTGTGTATATATATATATGTTTACGTTGGACTCGTTGGTTGTGACACTGATGATTATCCCTTTTTTTTTTTTTTTACGGAAGCTAGAAATATAAATTTAATTTTAAAAAAAACCTCAAAAATCGATAATTTTTGAGGTCCTCTCAGGGATTTATAAATCCAACCCCAAATCCCCCAAGAATCGATGTGGTGGGATGGCCACATTAGTACTTTAATGTGTGACAGTGATGATTACCATTTGCGTGCGATAATTGGAGAGTCCTTTCAGTATGATGCGTCTCACTTTTGGCCACCAACCTTTCTTCATCTTCTTCACAACTGGTAATTTAGGGTGCACGTAATTAAATCAAAGCTTAACTGGCAAAAGCTAGAGCTAGCCAGTCTTGGAACCTAATTAGGAGCACACGACCCATGTTTTCCTCATGACTCTTGGAAGTATGTTACAGCTGAAAAGGGCCATCCAGCCCTGCTTTCCTGGAGGAGTTTTAGGGCTGACGGCAGTATGGTACCCGCACTCAAGACATACAGTGGGTGGGAGACACCTTTCCCCCTTATTGGGCAACCAAATGCATACATACGTACGTTAAATAATTTTTCTTAAAAAAAAAAAAAGAAAAAAGAAAAAGGCCACCTGCCATCGTCAACGTGGCGCAAGGTTTTGGTCATCAACCTTTTAGATAGAGCATATACAGTAGCTGAGTATTATTATTATTATTATTGCTCTTGCGCTCTCTCTTATTTTATTACAATCTTGCATTGATTCGGTTTATCTATGGATTAACCGTCCTTTTGGAGCTCAGACAAAGAGCGTCTATTTTACTTTTTCCTTTGAAAAGTCCCCACTACGATTGCCTATTTGGTCTAATCCAATCCAACTTTTTAAAGCATCAGAAATTGTCTCTTCTATCTCTTTCTTTTGTTTGTTTCACCAAACCTACCTTGGATCCGTCAACAGGGAGTAACGCATTGATTAAAACTGATCATCACACACCCCCCCCCCCCCCCCACGCGGCGGGAATTACACGACATGTAGGCATTTTCTATGTGATCTTCTCGGAGAATAATCAATCGCGAGTTATTCGATTCGTTTGCAGCCCTGCTTTCAATTCAACATCAAACTCAATCGCCCTCCCTAATTTCTTCATGACTTTTCAGAAGCTTCTAAATCCCCAAACTTTCTAGCTCTGCAATCCCATTCCTTATGGAATACATTTTTATCAGCTAATTTGTTATTTTTTCCTATAATTTTTTTAATCTAAGTTAAGAATGACAAAATAGTAAAAATTTGTAAGGGAAGAAAACAATTTTAGATCAAATATTTAAAACGGTATTCATATTTGATTGTTTCCTCGTTTGAGGAACGGGATGTTGATACTTAAGTTAGGCTCTTTATAAATGCAAGCTTTTATAGGACAATTTTTACTTTGCTTATGTCCAATAAACTAGTGACACGCACACATACGTACATAGAGTAGTTGTAGTAGTAGTAACACGTGGGAAATAGGTCATTTACGTTTGAGTCAATTTAATATTGGATTTTCTAAAATTATCATCTAAATTTGGAGCGCCTGGTGGGTTCTTGGCATATTTCCGATTAAAACTGGGGTAATAAAAGTATCGGAGGACCAAAAATGATATTAAGCACTAAAATCATCCGTTTCAACTCTAAAATCGCTCGTTTTCATTCTAAGAGACTAAAATTTTAACTTACATCATATACCACGGACGGTTTATGCAATTCTCCACTTATTCAACTCAAAAAATGATATGATAGGAACTAAAACCATTCGTTTCAATTTTAAAACTGCACGTTTTCATTCTGAACCTTAACTTACGTGATATACGAGGGAGGGACGGCTTATGCAATTCTCCCTTTAATCGTCTCAAATTTTTTGTAGTTTTAACTTGATAATCGGATAGTTTGTTAGATTAGATAATTGTGTTTTGCGTTGGTTGTTTCTTTTTACCAAGTTTCGTGGGTTGGAAATAGACCTTTTGTTCGAGTAATTTTGTGGAGAGTTTAGAGGGTTTTTTGAAAGTCCACGTAAGCTACTTTTGAATCTTCTACTATACATTTCGGGAATTTCATCGCTGTTATATGGATTATATACACAATTTGGTGTCAACGGTCAAATACGAGATTGGTCCCGAGTTGTTTAGACTCAGAGAACGAGTTTTCGGAGGAGCACCTTGGTAAGGTTATAAGCTTTTGTTGTTTGACTTGTGAGTCTAAGGATCAATCCTAAGACAAGTGTCTCTCCTGAAGAATAAAGTCCGGTGCAAAATCTTACTGACACTGAAAAAATAGCGCAGCTCAAACATTAAAGAAGAAAAAAAAAAAAAAGAAACGAAAATGCAGCTTTATCATGCTGGTTGTATATCTGAACTGACGGTACCAGCAGCGTCCATTTGGGATTCTGGGGGCATAGACTCAGATTTTTTAAATTGACATTTCACCAATTAAATGAGTGCCATTGAGCCCAAAGATGATTGATACCCGAAGTATGAGGCTTGTCACTTGTACGACTCGACAGAGACGCTGCAATTTGTTGGAACCTATGGACCACGCCATCAACAACAATTCAACTTCGTCGGCCGCCCGACTGAACGCAAAAAGAAAGTAATTAAGCACATGTCTCTCTCGCATTAACCTTGACGGTTGCCATATGCGAGGAAGGCACTAATTCCTCCCTACTCTGCTGCTACTTCCCATTACACAGCAACACCCGTTTGTTCATGGGCAGATCTGTACATATATGTATATAGTGAACTGCGCAAGTACATAGTAACGACGACGTTGTAGCGGCCCTTTTGAATCTAACGTTGGGCCACGACTCTTGATAAGAAATTAGTCGAGATCGCTACGAACTCCGGTTCTTAGATGACTTGTGAATCCGGCCCAACCCCCTTGGAGGCAATTATTGCCAAGGGGCTTCAAGTAGAATACGTTTTCCTTTGGCGCGTAGAATTACAAACTCCTTTCTCCCTAAAAAGTAAAAACTTCATTCCCAATTTTTTTTTTTTCCCCTACAAATCCCATCCCTCGTAAAATATTAAGGAAAGCTTGATTATGACATTTAAAAATTGATTGTACCGGACACTAGAAATAGAATACACCTCGGAACCAAACAAAATCTTGTTCAGTTATAGTTATCTGAAAGCAATTGAGCTTCACGAAGAAATGGCTCGCCACTCGGTCAAGAATATCATCCTTAGTGCTGGACTTCGCCGACTTTGCAGAGGGGATGCTGTTGCAATAACTGATACACTGGAGAAATATCAGGTCTATTGGTGTTGTATCGTTTGAAGGTTGCTTGGCATTCATTTGCTTTTACAGGACCTAGATCCCACTTTTCCCAGAACAAGGGAGTACAGATTTTTAGCTGTAAGTATTTATCACTGCGAAAGAACAATATGTGCCATTAACCTTTGGGTTCTTAACATGCAATCCTCATTATGCTTGCACGGATTCTTGTCACTGCAATTCTTTTTTAGTCTACTATATCATTGTTTCCTGAGTTGATACATCATCATAGAGGGGTTTGGCGTGTAACTTCATGGTTTGAAGAAAATGCCCATATTTTTTTTCTGCGGCATGTCAGGATTTGGCTACTGCAGTTGACGAGGAAGATGGTGCAAAGTTCGCTGATGTTGTCGAGGAGTTTGATAGCTTGACTCCTCTGGTAAATGGTCTTTTTCCACTTAATCTTGTTCTATTGGTCAGCACTAGTCATTCGAGTGGGAAGTGAGATTGGTGCAGTAACTCTAGATGTTTTTCACTCTCATCTCCAACTTACTACCTCAACAGAAACTTCAAGCCACTACTCTAGCTCTTTTTTACCTGACGGTCTTCTCCTGCTGCTATTGAAACCATCTTCCATATAACTTTCTGTCTGACAAGCACTTACTTAAAGTCGTCCAGTACATTTCTGTGGAGTGCATGGAAGACCACGCTTCCGTTAAAAGTGACCTGGATTAGTCAAACTCTAATGGCTTCATCTCTATCAAAAGTTTGCTAGATGGTTCTTGGACTGTGCAGCAACTAGCTCTTTGTTTTTTTGCTACTACAAGATATGATACCATGACAATAAAGTAGACAAGTGGATCACTCCAAGCATTTGAGAGGTTCTTGTTGAAAGGAAAAAAACGAAAGAAATCCAGAGGCCCTGTTGCTCGGCTTCTAATGTTCCTAATTTTCACCAGGAAAATTGTGTTATTGGTAGATGTCTACTCTGTTACAATGAGTACCATTAATTAGGTCTTAAAATATCTTGAAAGATTTTGCACTCCAAAAGGTAGTATAAATAAAGCTAAACTATAATGACACGATTGACGGGATGAAATAACCGACGAGCAATATTCAATTATGTGTCTAGATTATGAAATGGAAAAATGCGCTTGATTGCTATTACTTATTAAGGTCAGCAGAGAAGGTGAACATGATAGATAGAAAGGATCTCAGGCAAATAATAAAATGAAGGCAAGGATAAAGATGAAGCCATCAGAGAGTTTGAATAATCCAGGTCACTTTGGGCCACGAAAAATGTTGAATGACCAAACTATACTATTTTAAATAGTTTAGTAACTATTTTGGCGCAACGGATCTTCTGTCCCACATCCTGTGCCACTCTCTGTCCCACTTTTTATTTTAATTTTTTAAGTATGTTAAATTTTGTGTATTACTGAATTAATAGTTATTGGATCTTAAAGAAGCAAAAAAGAATTAAAACATGATATTTATGAATGAGAAATAACAATATAATAAAAAGTGGGACAGAGAGTGGCACAGGATGTGGGACAGGAGATCCGTTGCGTTATTTTGGCCATTTACTCAAAGCTCCTTGGCCAGCGTTCACTATTTCAGTTTCATTCTGTTGTATTTCATGTTAGTATATCATTAGTATTAGGGAGGATGTGCGGGTGTTTGGTGTCTATGATTAAAAAGAATTTTAACATAGTTATTTGTTGGTGATTGTGTTGTTATTTTATGAAATTTCGAAAGTATTTAAACTAGTAAGAGAGTAAGTGAACGAAGATAAGAGTGAGATATCATACTAAACGATAATATTTCATAACATATGTTTCAATAATAGATTTTCTATAAAGGTCAATTAAATCTCCCTTTCTTTAGATTATTATTCAATTTGCATTTCATAGATTACAAGTAATTTCATTAGTTATATATCTGTTCTTGGGGTTAAATATTAATCAACCTGTTGATCAATAAGGATTATAGTACATGTAAAAAAAGTCATTTAAGTTTTCCTTTCTTCAGATTATTATTCAATTTACATTTCATGGATTACAAGTAATTTCATTAACTATATGTCTATTTTTGAGGTTAAAATTCATAGCCACACTCATTCTTGTATGGTGTGAGATTTCATTTCACATCTTTTTTATTTTTTTTGTTCATCTTTTTAGTTTTTTGCAGTAATTTTAGTTTTATTTATCTGTATAAGAAAGCATTCATTGTTCTATAATATAAGAAAGCACTTATTGAAGTTGTTTGCTTGAAGGAATTTCTACAATTTCGTCATTGCCTAGAAAAATTTAATTATTTCTATTACTTCTGCTTAATTAGAAGGTATATGTAAAACATTACCAATATGAATGGCTTGGAAATGTTTATTCTATTAATTCATCAGTGGCTATCAGTATACCATGTAACCTACTAATTCACAATGCTTCACTGTCAAAATGAATTCCATATATGAATCACTTATTATATGCAACAGAAAACACACCATAACTGAACTAATTAAGGTGCTTTTTTGGCTTACTTTATTCCAGGTATCCTCGAAAAACTTTTTCTTGCAATTATTTCAAACCTATTACATCATAATCACACTATTCAAATTACACAGACCTACCAAATTCATGAAAAGAATTCATAATATTATACTTAAATTACATAACCGTAGTTTCAAATTTTGCAATGGAAGCAGTCATCGAATGCTACACTACATCAAACCCACCCACATAAACAATAAAATTAAGGAACAAAACTCACCTTAAGTTGAACCACCAAGAATAGTTTCACCCGAAAATTATTTTGGGATGCGGAGTATAAAGGTAGTAAAAATAGCCCAATCCTGAAAGTCAAAAGGAAAAAAAAAACGAAGAATGTGAAGGAGAAGGCAACCCATAATCGATGCTGAGGTATTAATTCATTAACATACCCGCGTTTTCTTCAATTTAATTGAGATATGAATGGCAAAAACAATTGAATATGTTTAAGGCAATTGAATATTCTCAAACGGCTTGATGCTATGTTTAGCCTAAAACCGTTCCTCTATACTTAAACAACTCTCTCATCTCCAAACCCTCCATCCTTGAAAGTAAGATTACAGGAACGTGTCTTCATTTCAATTGCACAATAAATACCACACTTCAAGTAAATATGTCTGGAACACCATTTAAATAATTACACCAATACATAAACTTGTATGATTTGTACCCAATACAAAAACTATCATAAAATAATTTCACATTCATAAAATATTCAAATATCTCCATAAATAAACGCTTTAAATGTATAAACATGAAGGAAATTTTGCAAATATACCAAAATACATGCTATCATCATTTGTACCCAAAGTTAAAAATAAACTCCACATCATTTCATATTTCGAAAATGCCCCTATTCATGGGATTGAAATTCAAAAACTCTCTTTGGCCACAACTCAGGGGCCGCTTGGTTCATGTTTAGGAATCGGAATTGTAATTGGAATCATTTACAAAAAATTAGTATGGGTTTTGATTGGGTTGTGGTCAAGGTATCAATACAATAACAGGCGCTTGGTAGATATTTGTCAGGAATGGATATTACATTAAAATTTGAATATTTTATCATTTTTAAATTTATTTTTGTTCTCTCCTTTTTGTTCTTAATCCAATTGCTGAACATCCTTCTTAACTGAATTGCAGAACTTCATAGTGACCATTAATGGATCAACCGGTATTTTTCTTGGACTTCAAGATCACAAAATCTGTTTACGTAAACCTCACTTGTAACTTGAAGATCATTAGATCTAGTTTCTAAACAACTTTAAAAAAGAAAGAAAGACTCAGATTTGCAGCCATACAACCCCCAAAAAAGATGAGAGCCGTCGTCAGATTGCAGCCATACTCCACCACTTTAACTCCTTCATTGCAGCCATACAACCCCCAAAAAAGACTCAGATTTGCAGCATAGAGCACAGGCCGTCAGCAACCAATCAAGATGAGATTCTTTGGCCAACAAAAATTACTATCACATTTGCAGCACAGAGCCGTCGTCAACTGTGGAAGATTGGAAAAAAAGAGGCCTGCTACACCGGTAGGAGAGAAATTAGAAGATTGGAGAGGAAAGGGAAAGGCCGGTTTGATATGGAGAAGGAAGCAAATAGGAGAATGTGATGAAAATAGAAGAGAGATGAAATAAAAAAAAAATAGATTTGGAATCAAACGTGGGATTTCACAAAACCTCCCAACTTGGTCAGGAATGGGAGAAGTCCAATTTTTTAGGAATGATTCCAAAATTTATATTCCAATACACTTAATCCAAGCAACAAATAAGGGATTCATTCCTTTTTGTGATTCCCAAACCCTCTGACCAAGCAGCCCCTCATTCTTTCTTTTCTTACATAGCATAAGGATATCTTGTTTGTCTTCGGGAATGGAATGGACCCGAGTACGGGTCAATTGATCGTTTAAAGGTCGCTGTTACACGCGTAGACCGTGTATATATTTGTCTGGACAAGGACGACGATCCTTCCCTCTCTGGAAGGAAAATTTCTGTCTGCTGATATTAAGGGTCTGTTTGTTTCGGGTGAAAATGTTTTCCAGGAAAATATTTTCCTAATTTCCCGTGTTTGGTTGCACAAAAGTTACTGAAAACATTTTATTATGTAAAATATTTTCACTCATCTTATGGAAAACAACTTCCCTTTCAAACTTACTGAAGTTGTTTTCCGAAATGCATGCATCCCGCCTGTAGTATGTTCCAAACTTATTGAAAACATCTTATACTATGTTCTTTTTTTTTAGTATGTTCCAAATTTATTGAAAACATCTTGTAGTATGTTCTTTTTTTTTTTTTTAGTGTAAATAGGAGGACTCGAACACAAGACCTCTTTCTTACACTCCCTCCCTCCCTCGTACACCCAACTCAACCCTCCCCCTAGCATATTCAAAATAAAAAAAAACCCCATCCTACTCATCCTATGCTAGTAATTAATTATGTATAATAGGGACATTCTTTTCTAGAGAAACTTTCAGCAGTGAGAGTGCAAGATATATGTTACAATAAGCATTGCATGTGATTGATATTTGACACTAAATGGCCAGCAATTATTTATTGCTTAAGGAGATATTTTTTATTCATATATACATTTCTCCAAGATTTTTTAAAGTTAAATAATGAGATAAATTTTCTTTTTTGTATGGGAGAAGTATGTAGTTATAATGTGTAGAAAGTAAAGATAGAGATAAAAGTGAAAATTATTTCAAAAGTTAAACAAACACCAGAAAAATGAAGTAAGAAAATATTTTCAATAAACTAAACCAAAACACCTGAAAATGATGAAAGGGAAATGATTTTCATGGAAAATTACTTCCACGGAAAATATTTTCCCAAGGAAAACATTTTACTTCCAACCAAACAGACCCTAAGAGTCTCTTTTTCTCTGCATAACACACCTATATGATGGAGTTAGGAGCATATTTTGTGTCCTCCGGGATGCATATGGTGTATCTCTTGAATAAATATCCCATTTACTTGCTGCGAATGCTGCCGATATTCCAAACGTAATCATTTTTTGTTTCTTTCCGAGTAGAAAACACTACGGAGTACCTCCAAATTGGCTTGGTGATAAGAATCTTATGCTATAAGATATTAGCAGGTTAGCTGGTCTTGCCTGTATTATCTGCCTTTGAATATTTGTTGATGTTTTTTGGTTTTAATTTGGGAGTACTCTTGTATTATTATTATTATTATTATTATTATTATTTAATAAATAAAGTGATCACATTATGGAACTCCGTGGACCAGAATAGTTGGAATATCTAATAAACTAACCAATGGGCTAAATCATTTGATAAATTTTTTTAAGAGGCCGGGCCTTTTTTTTTTTTTTTTTTTTATGTGCCCCACACCCCAACCCCCCCCCCTCAAATATCATGCAGTAATTTTCTTGATTTCGCACACAGTCACGTCACGCAGCAGTGATCAGTAAAATT